TCCCCTTCCTTTTTCATCTTCATCTCCTCCTCCTCTCCTTCCTCCTTTCTCCTCCAAAGGGAGGGAGTAGGCGCTCTCTATTCAAGGATTTGTAACCCAAACCACGTTTCTCCAAACTTCCACTTCCAGCTTCAGCACCTGATGTGCATCTGCTGGGCTCTGTCCCTGGCACGTTCTCTGTCTGAGCTTCGTAACTTTTCTTCTAACATAGTAACTGTAAATTTGTAACATTGCAACACGGCTGATTTAAGAGACGTCTTTCTTTGTGCTTCTTACTTTATAGATGCGTGGTACTTTTTAATGGGCGAACCCCCATTAAAAGCGGAGGTAACGCTTTGCTCTTATAAAGTAACTAGTCTCTGAGCGGCTGTGTAGATGATTCTTTGCGATATTTTCCAAGAGAATCTTTTTTTATGGCTTTCATTTCATTTCTAAAAAGCAAAGGTAATGAATCATCAAATTACTTTTTTTTTCTCCCTTCTTTTCAAAAGCCGCATGCTAAGGGTAAGATCTTTGTCCAAAGTCAAGGTAAGACTTTTTAAATATATATATATTTATTTGAAAAAAAATGAGTCCTTTATCTTTTTAAAGACACATACTGAAACATTTATGAAATGTTTATGAACATGATGTCTGGGATTTATTTAGAAATAGAACAGATACACTTGTATTATTTTCTGACATTAAAGTAAAAGATAAATAGGAAAACATTATAAAAGAATAATTAAAAATGCAGATCACTTAACAGGAGGTACAGATACTGTCAGTAAAGATGGAAAAAGACGGATGGGCCTCTTTGAGTTGAGTTGAGTTGAGCTGGGGGCACCCGGAACCCCCTGCCTCCCTCTGTAGCCCTTCCTGCCCTCCCCCTGTTCTACCCTGGTGGTGGTCCCTTTCCTCGGACCCTTGGGGTCTCCCCAACATAGCTAGTAAACCGCTATAGAAATCGGGGGAGCAGGAGCTCCACGGAACACGTAGCTGGTTCCAGGCTTAGGTCAGAGCCGGTGCTGAGGCCAGGGTCACAAGTTCAGGTCCACCTTACACGTCACATCGTCACGGTTTAAATGCCCTGATGGTTTCAGGGATCCTTTGAGCAGCAGAATCACTCATCAAGTAAACTGTTTCTTGGAGCCCCCGTTTAAAAAAAGACGCACTGACTCAGCATATATCAAAGTGAGGGTGGTGTGCGTGTCAGGGCAGGCCTGGGGCTGCGTCTCGCATTCCTTTGCACGGCCTGGTTTACAGTCAGGGAGGAGGCCGGTGCAGCCGGAAAAACGGGCTTTGATGCCACACGTGGTTTCGACGCAGCCTCTTACCACCTACACACTGGGTCATTGTGGACCCCGATTAACCTCAGGGAAGCTCAGTTTCCAGCCCCATAAACCGGAGGCGTCAGCCTGCTTAACAGGACTTGAAGGTTTCCAGGATGGTGGGGACCACACCTGCCCAGAGTCTGTGCCAGTCTGGGCGGGTGGGCCCTCCTTAACTAGCTGCCGTTGGCACCGGTCAGTGTGAGGGACCAGCTCAGGAGGGCACTGAGACCGAAGTCACATTCTGTAACATTTCAGATCTTTTCTGCTCTCAAGACAATCTGTTAAATGTTGCCTCTGGATCTTTGAAATCTTTGTTCACCTTTTCAGAGGATTTTAACGTGAAGTCTGTTTGGGAAAGCGGCCCGGATAGCAGGCATTCATGTCTGATTTGGAGAGGGGTGGGGTGAGGAATTTTAAATGCAGACATAATTTCTACGTGGTTTCTATTAGAGTTTAGTTGGTAATGGTTTAGATACCTGGTTTTTTCAGAACTCAAGCGTTCTGTGTCCTGGAGACAGTTTGGCCCTGTACCGGGGGTAGTAGGGTGAACGTGGTGGATGTTTTTCTCCTTGGGACCCGGGGGCTGACTTTAAGCCTCGCGGGCTTGGAGGGGTTAACGGGAACTCAGTGACGCCCTCAGGACGCTGGGGTCTTTCTAAGAAGCGGGCATGAGCCTTCTCTTTTCCTCTTTCCCCAGGAATTTCAACAGTGCCGAACGCCGCCTTTAACTGGAACAGCTTCCTTCGGCGTTCAGGTAGGAGGTGAAATCTTCCGGTAGGATTTTCGCTGAAGTGCGTCTTGTCAGCGAGGCTCAGTTACTTGCTAGGGTCACACTGTTTTGAAGAAGAGTCTGTCAGGGTCTAAGTAGGAGAAGGGGAGGGGCCCGGGCAAGACCAGAACAAAACTCGTCTCTTCCCATCCTCCGAGACCTCGTCGGTGGGCTCATCCCCCGTGAGGAGCCCTGGCTGGGATGCGGGAGGGGCGCGGGAGGGGCGCGGGAGGGGCAGCAGCGCCGGCCTTTCTGATGTTGCTCCTCGGACAGACATCCCAAACGTTTGGCATCATGCGGTGTCTGTTCCTATTAAAGATGTCAAACTCCTGTGTTCAATTTGTGTGACTTCATTAGCTGCACACGTAACAAGTGCCCATGGTTTGAAAAAATAAGAAAATGGGGATCAGAGTAAGAAACAAAATTTTATGTTTATTTATTATTCTTTTTGTCTTTTTAATTTTTTTTTGGGGGGGAGGAGGTAATTAGGTATCTGTTTATTGATTTATATTGATGGAGATCCTGGAGACTGAACCCAGGACCTCGGGCATGCTCGGCGCACGCTCTACCGCTGAGTGGTACCCTCCCCAAGAAACAAAGTTTTAAACCACTTGAAATCTCAGCATCACAAAGGGACTGCTATTAAGTGTCTCCATGTGATCTTTCAGAACAACTTTGCATATGTATTGATGCTTTTTATGTACTTATAGATCATATCAATATTATAGCTGCATAATTCTGTTACGTATTTTTGGCTCTTAAAATCACCGTATATATTAAATCTATATATATGTAATATTCATAGATTTATTATAAATACATAGCTAGGTATTTGATCTACATTATTTACATTATCTATAAATTATACATAAAATATATATAATATAGATCTGATTTTTTTATGTTTAAATAATACAGGTGTATAAATCATCATATAAAATTATTTTTATTTTATTTTTATGTTTTTCTTTTTTCAGTTTTACTAGGTGGAATTATTACAGTTCAACTGCACATAGACATTTTATTGCACGAAAATACACATATACAGTGTACTCACCATTTTTTTTTTTAGTTTACAAAAAAAGACAAAAGTAGTCAAGCTGTGCTTTCTGCTCAACCTGCTTTATTTATTCATCATGTTAGTAACAAAATGAGCCAACTGAAAAATTTTTCTAAGTCAAAGTAAAATGTACATCGAGAGAAATGCAGAGGCTTGAGATGTAAAATTAGATGAGTTCTGACAAGTGGACTGATTGCCTTCCCACCGCTCAGGACAGTTCATTCTTGTGCTTTCCCGCATTTAGTTCCCATCGCTCCGTAAGGGCCCCCCCGTCCCCAGTTCTGTCATCATCCATTAGTTTTTGCCTGTTCCCGAACTTCGTCTGAGTGGATTCATACAGTAAGCACTTTTTGTGTCTGGCTTTCTTTTTTTCTCCACATAACGTTTTTGAGGTTCGTGCATGCACACTGCTGTGTGTAACTGTTGTTCTTTCTTTTTCATTGCCAAGTCGTACTCCACTGCATGCATAGCTCTCCGTCCTCCCACCGGTGGGCTTTGGGTTGCTTTCCTTTCTTAGCTGTTGTGAATAGAACTGCTTTCCACGTGCTTGTGCAAGGATTCTGGTGACACTTTTTCATTAGGGTTGTAAACCATCTGAAATTAATTTTTATGTGTGGTTGGCAGTGGAGATCAAAATTCAGTTTTTTTTCTCTAGGTTTTAGCGTCATCGAAGGCGCTTTTCTTTCTCTGTTGAATTGCTCTGGTTACTTTGCTAAAAATCATCTACTGTACGTGTTCCTCTGTATGTACATGTTTTATATCCACCCTTAACGCCAGTATCGTGCTGTGTTTGCCATAGATTTATGCTGTGTTTAGAAATCAACACTAGTCGACACCTTTGCTTCCGAATTGTTGTAGCTCTTCTAGGTGCTTTGCAGGTGTAAAAATTGAGAATCATCTTGTCAGGTTTTTATAAAATCTCGTTGCATTGACTCTGTAGATCATTTTAAAGAGGACCTGATATCGTGACAATAATTTGTCTTAAAATCTCTGAATCTGATATATCTGTCCATTTGTTTAAGTCTTATTTATCTTCATAATGACTTGTACAGGTCTTTTGTGTTGTTTAAAAAATATTCTTAAGGACTGTATTCTTTTTGATATGCTGTAAAGGTTTTTTTAAGTTTCACTTTTGAATTTCAGTTGTTGCTAGTAGATGGAGATACATTTGATTTTTACACATTGACATTATGTCCTGAAATCTTCTAAGTTTATTAGATCTAATGACCTCGTGTTTTTAACTCCTTTATTGTATTTAAAATTCTATAAACGTGTTCAAGCAGTCCCTTTTGTCAGGCGTTCAGAGTTTTCAAGCACTTTTTGATATGCAGCGATGAAGGTGCTAGGGTTTCAGTTCTTCACATTTTTCACCTGATTGTTTTTCTAGGGCAGTTCCTAAAACCAGAATTACTGGGTTAGATTCTGCATTTAACCAGGGCTTGCATACGTCTGCCGTGAGGGTCCCTTGGAAAGCCGCATCGGTGTGCGTGTGCGTCAGCGATGCAGTGAGGGTACCGTTTTCCCCACATGTAGCGCCTACGTTGTGTTTTATGTGCATGGTACGATCCAAGCAGGGTCATGGCGTTTAAGCACAATTTGGCTGTACGGTATCTGTAAGCATAGAACGTTTAGTTGTCCACACGTGAGGCCCATAAGTTGAAAGCTGTTTGAGGTCATAATTGCCTTACAGGCTTATGGACCCAGTAATTCTGGAAAAGCACCAGAGCAGCTAAAATCGGCTCACTGGATGCCGTCTGAAGCCTAAGAACCCATCTGTGCAAACCTGAGACGTTTCTCCCTCGAGACAGCAACACAGAGGTACCATTAGGGGAGCTGATGCCGCGGGCCCTGCTCTAAACTTCAGAGAGGAGACCGAAGATGCGAAACCATGCCCTGCCCTCAGCAGGCACGAGGACCACCCCAAGCCTGTTTCGGCGCCAAAAACTTCGAACAGAATCTCCGCCACATACTCTATGTCAGTGATAGGTTCCCTTGAAAAGAAAACGTTTCCAAGCATCTGGTTAGAAATAACTTTCCAAGTGTTGCACATCCGTCTCGGCAACAACGTTACCATCTCGGCAACAACGTTACACATGCACACACACGCTGTCGAATTGCTTCTTCATGTCAGGAAGTGGGCGCCGTTGCTCAGAACCAGTTGTGAGGCTATTCTGTCTTCTGTGTGTCCCAGGTCACTCCTGCGGTGTCACTAACATTCATGATTTCCAAAAAGCGGGTGATTTGTCACCGAGGTCTGTAGCCTCACAGTTGATCGTTTCATGAGTCTTACTGTTGAGCGATGAACGGACCAGCCAGGAGAGTTAAAAGTCTCCTTAGATAACATTCCCCCTGGGGACCGACTTGGCTGCCGTTTCTTCGTGACGTGAGCAGTTAGGCGCCAGAAGTGTATTCAGAACGCGTGGGCTGAGGGGAGCCCCGGCTGGCGCTGCGGGAGCGGACTCTGGGAGATAATGGCTTTCGGGGAGGATGCGGGCTCAGTCGGCGTCTCCACGTTTTATGATCGGGCGTCTGTTCTCATTTGTGCGGTCGTTCATCTTTGTTGCATGTCAGACCCCAGAGATGGGCCGTCTTCCTCGCCCGTCCTCTGCCTTTCCCTGGCCTCTGGAGCAGCCTGGGATTGTGATTTGTCACTTCCAGTTTGAGCTGCAGACCGGGAACACGGCAGACGCGGTGAGCCTGATACAGA